TGACTTTAAAATTTTTATATGATAAAATAAAAAAATTATTTTTGTTATACTTAATTTTTGTTTAGTAATTTCACTGATTAATTTTTTTAATCATCATTCAATTTGTTGTATATAAATATAAAAGTATATAAGGCCAAACTCTTAAATATAAGGGCAAAAGTAGAAAAAAAATTCACTATTAAACTAAATATAAAAACAAATCATCTTACAAATTAACGAAACTAGACAAATAATATCAAATTTAACCGTTGTTATCATATTACATCATCTTTCCATTACTTCTTCTTTTTTTTCGGTTTATGTGGTCCTTCTATTTGAGCAGATAATAATGTCAAGCTGATATTAGCCGTTAAATTTGAAGTTATTTGTCAAATCTAATTAATTAGAGAGTTAACTTGTCCTTTTATTAATTTAGTTTTAACGTGAATATGTTTCTACCTTAAACGTGGAGGGCATACAAACTCTGCTTTAGCCTGATACAGAAGGTAAAACCCTACATTAAACTCTTAAATTTATCTAAAATTTTTAATTAAATTCTTAAATTTTTATTGAAGCCAATAAACTTTTAAATTTGCTGATTTGAGCAATTTAAATATTTTTTTGACAATAAACTTAATGCTTGTTTATATCTTACTTGTGTAGATAAAGTATTGGCATATTATTATTTATGTAATGAGTATTGACATTATTTATTTAAGTAAGATATAAACATATATTAAGTTCATTATAAGGAAAATAATTAACTTTCTCAAATTGTAAGTTTATGGACTTATTTATTTTAATAAAAGTCTAAAAATTTAATTAAAAATATGAGATAAATTTAAAATTTTAATGTAGGATTTTACCAGCTCATATATATTAATGTTCTGATGGCCAAAAAATTATACAAAAAAAAAGGGACACTTTAATCAGACTAGTGGGCGATCAAAAATCTAAAATGGTCAATGAACCATAAACTCACACAATGTAGTAGCTAAACAAACTCATACTTTTGTCTTCAAATCTGTTGGGAAGTTGGGAATTAGAGAGAAAACGAAGTTTACACTTTAATTTTTTTATTATATTTGTGGAACAACCCTCAAAACTTATTTATGTGTCAACTAAGCCCTCGGATATTCACGGCAAAAGTTATTATTAAGTAAAACCATAGTCCATAGAAACAATTAATTGATAAAGTCCCTAGGTTTGATGGACCATAGTCCAGATGACAGTAAATTTTCTTCCTCCTCTCTTGAGCAATAAAGTTTTAATGTGAGGGTAATTTTTTATGATTTTTTTTTTTTGGTTATGAATTGTACAAAAAAAAAAAAGTGTACCTTAAGGCTATTTCTTTAATGAGAATCTGATTATATACCCTAAACCATATTAGATAGTAAAATATGAATTATTACAAGGGAGAGAAGAAAGCTCAAATATTAAGATTTAACTTCTATTTAATAGTTAATGTAGTGTAGTTTAATTTAATTTAAACTACACTCACCTATTTATTTTTCAATTTTAGTATTTAAACTACTTTTTTATGTAATTCCTACTTAATTTTTTTTTGTTGTACTATGAAAGACAATTATTTCTCATCATTTATCTTATTTCACTTGCATGTTATGGGATTCAAATTCAAGATTTTTTATTTTCAGAGAAAAAAAATGATCATTGAACTATTTAAATCATTGACTAATTAAAACACTTTTAATTTCTAATAAAATTGTTACTTACAAAGTTAAAAAAATGAAAAACGCAGCTATTCTGCCTACAAAAAGTGTCAACTGTTTTTGTGACAAATAATAAAAAAACATATATTATTATATTTACTCATTTAAACGTAATAACAATGATAGTTAGTAGCCATTGTAATTATGAAGTTGTCATGACCAGCAAACAAAACAACCACACCTCTTCGAATTTGGATTGTAACTGAAGGGGAAATCAAATCTTAGGAAACGCCGGATAAGGCATTGCATGACTCATGATTTGAAAGACTGAGCTTGGAATTTCCTCAATTTTGGTTGCCATCATCGCCCTCTTTTCTCTTTGAGATCCTCTTTCGGATTCCCCAAAGAATTCCCCTATTTTTAAAATAAAAAAGCCTGGATCTTCGTTTCACACAGTCTCTGCACATATCTATTCATTTCATTTTTAAAATATAATTTCATTTTTTAGTTGTCAGAATTTGGTTGAGTCTCTCCTCTCACGGTCTCTATATACCCTTCTAATTGCATTTTTGTTTCTCCACAAACCAACTTAAAGATCCTCGCTTTTTCCATCTGGGCATAGAAATTTTCAATCTTTTCCCGTTCCCCACTAGACATAGCTTCTATTTATTGGTAAGAGGGTGTCTTGTGCTGTGTGATTGCTTGTAAATGGCCAATGCATCTGGGTTTTTTACACCTTCGGTTCCCAGCCTGAGGCGTCGGATTCAGCCCCCGGCTGGCGTTTCTCGATCTGGGTTTTCCTTATCTGAGCGAATCTTCAAGAGGATGGTATGCTCCAGTACTGTTGAAGGTGCAGAAAGGCATGTTTCTACATCTGAATCGCGTCTCCCAAGGTCAGTGTTTGCCTCGAATTCCTTCTTGTATGGTTTCATGGGTTGGCTCTTTCACTAATTTCTCAGGTATCCGAGTTTCTAATGCAATCGTGTTAGAGTATAGCAGCTGATTTGTTAGTGAAAATTTTATCAAACGAGCTAAGTATTTGTTTTTGGGTTGTGATCCTGGATTGGATCCCCAGTGTACTTTGTTTATTTTCTGAGGGAAGTAGAAATTCTTAGTTTGTGGTACGGTCTCAATTTCATTCACATTCTTGCACTCCTGTGTTATGCTTGTGGAGTTTCAAGTATAACTGCTTTTGCATGGGCCTTTGCCCTATAGAATGTGAAAATAGTCTTTTATTGGGTGAATGACGAAAAAGGTTCGAGGCTTCAAGCACAAGAATTCAGAGGTTATTTTCAGGGGAAAATGGCAAATAATACTTTTGCAACCTTATGCTCTGATATGACAACAGTACACAATTTTCTGCTTGCTCTTGTTGGAAACTATTATTGATGCATCATTAGGATTAAAATTAATTATGAGATGAATTTGCCACCGACCCCTGGATGTGTATGTGTGTGTGTGTGTGTGTGTGTATATACATTGAAAAAGTAGCTCTGCATGGATGTCCTGAAGATAGTATGGGCCAAATTGTTTGGCATTTTCCATGCCTGAATGTTACGAGATGGTGGAGCTTTGCAGCTTTGCTGATTGATTGTTGTTTGAGGAGGTGGTGTTTTACACCTTAGATCATATGTTCTTTAGTTTTAGTTTGATACAACAGAATAAACCATCTTAATACTTGTAGATGGAAAATTAACTTTCGAGACATTAGGGATACAAATCACAAGGTCTTTACACTGTCAGCCTGTTTGTTAGATGAATGTTCCTGTGACTCTTCTAGACTTTTGGCATTTGTTGATCTATTTAGTGACCTTGAGTTGCATGTTTCCTGGTGTTGCTATCCCACTTCCACCTCCAAAAAATGAGCCAGTAATCCTTCTACAGTTCATAAACTGAAGATTTGTTAGTTACTGGGTTTGATGGTAAATCTGCTTTGGATGGTTATATCTCTGGGAGTTTAATGTCACAATATTGCATTTGCTAGAGCAATGTGCTGCATTAATAAGTTCATTAATGAGTTATTTAGGAATAAGAGCTCCTGGCTTGTGCGGTATTGGTATCAATTTACTAGGAGCTCAAATTCATCAGGTTAGGCTTCTGAAGGTGATGGACTAGTTCCAAACAGAATTTATAATTGAGACAAGTGCATATGTTTAAGCAAGATTGTAAAGATCCTGGATATTGTTTCTGAGGTCATTTTGTAGATGCAAATCAATGCCCTTGTCATGTGATTTCTTTGTCAACTTAATTTTATATTGGTTACTTTTGAATGGGGCCAAACTTAAGCTGATCTTCTAGTGAACTTTTATGGGAAAAAGTGATGCTCATTGCCTTGCACACCATTTTCAGTTTGATTGAAATGATATTTATGTTGTAGATTTATAGATTGACAAATGAAACTCTTCTGTTTTTTTGCATAAACTGTACTTTAAGATGATTGACTCATCTTTCATTTGCTTTCCTGTTAATTCTTTCTTTCGAAATAAAACACAGGCTTGTCAGTAGAGGCTGCAAATTAGTTGGTTGTGGCTCAGCAGTGCCAGCTCTCTCAGTTTCCAATGATGATCTTGCAAAAATAGTTGATACTTCGGATGAATGGATCTCTGTTCGCACTGGAATTCACAATCGGCGGGTTCTTTCAGGTTAGTTCATATTCTTCATGCTAGTGTCTTTGTTGGATAGTTGTCTGATTTTTAGATGGCTCTTGTTGCTCAACCTCTTCATTGATGTTCTCAGAAACTTTAAACTGGATCTTGGGAGCAGTGTTCAGTTCTAGTTGTTGTAGCTTAGTTTAATGAGTTTGATCTGGCTTAAAGCGTGGCCAATATTTGCTTTCCTTAGTTTTCTACTCACAGAATCTTGCAAATGGTTCATAGATGCTTTTTTTTACCCGACTAATGTTGATCATAGAGAAACCATTGCATGATCTGAAGTCTTTATTCCTTTACTGCCAATGCAAAACAGCTGCTTTTATCTGTCAGTGAATTTTTTTAATCAAAACTGTGCCAATATCTTTTCTTTTCTATGCCTTGCCATCTTATTTCTCTATGGAGCTAATTCTTTTTAACTGCTACAACAGGAAGGGATAGCTTAACAAGTCTAGCAGTTGAAGCTGGTAGGAAAGCTCTTGAGATGGCAGATGTTGATCCTGATGATCTTGACCTAGTTTTGTTGTGCACATCTACACCAGAAGATCTATTTGGTGGTGCTCCACAGGTATAGGGCTGTTGGCTGATATATATTCAGAACTAATGGAGTAGGGTTTGAATCATAATGGTATTTTTTATGCTTTGAGATTGAGCCACATGGATGTTTATGGTAATCTAGTGTCACTTGTTCTTGTATGCGGATTAGGAAAGAATATGATGTGTAAGATTATCTTGAAAAACATGGTTATTAGCGGTGTTTTTGGCTTGAATATAGCTTTTGTATCATCCAACCTACTTCAGTTGACTACAACACTGTTCTCTGTTCTTCTATGTTTTTCTTAATTGTCAGGTCCAAAGAGTGCTTGGATGCAGAAAAACCCCTTTGGCCTATGATATTACAGCTGCATGCAGTGGATTTGTGTTAGGACTAATCTCGGCTGCTTGTCATATTCGGGGTAATGATTTTTTTCTGCAGTGGGGAGGTTCTGGGTATGGCTTTCATGCTTGCTAGACTCAAACTTCTTCCTTTGTAAATTACAGGGGGTGGATTTCATAATGTTTTAGTGATTGGGGCTGATGGTCTTTCTCGATTTGTTGATTGGACTGACAGAGGGTCCTGTATTCTCTTTGGGGATGCAGCTGGTGCAGTAGTGGTACAGGTAACGGTTTTCTTAATGCTCTTTGGTTCTCTAGATTAAGTTTTTATAGAAAAGTTGTTTGAGTAGAGTTTTTCTAAATCTTTAGTGCAATGAAAATGATGAAATTATAGAGATTGATCATGGGTAATTTTAGAATTTGATGGATTTCATTAAACTCAAAACATTTCCTCAAAATCTAGCTTTCAAAAAG